GTTTCCGTGATGGCGACTATGTCATAGCCATCCTGCTGCACTGTATGTCTATATATATATTTATGTATGTCTATCACAAAGTAAGAGATCCCATTAGCAGAAATTTCAGGAAAAGAGAATGATCCCACAGTGCTGTTTAAAGGAACTGCTATAACCATTTCTGCTTATTACTTTTGTTCCTACCAACTTAAATCTTTAAGTAGCAAGTAACAGTAAGCATGCACAGCACTTGGAAAAAAAAAAAAGTCAGAAGTATTTGATAAATACAAACACTGAATAAAAGCTTACACTTGCTTTAAGGCAGATACTATTTCTTACCAGAACCATTCAGATGGTTGAGCAGTGTAACATTCACCTCTTTCAGATAAAATTTCTGTACGCTTGCACTTGTATTTTTCTGTTTGAGAAACAAGAACCAACTGTCAGTGTGCAGTTCTGCATTTTTAACAACACATGCTTTGCAAAGGCTAACACATTTACCACACTCTTACATTTTCTACAACCTTAGCCCAATTCTCCATTTGCCTTGAGGCAGTCCGCTAGCCAGTTCCATTTCCTATATGGGAACAGCCTACCACCAGCAAGCGACGGGATTTTACTATGAGCAATCATCATGCAATGCTGTTAAAGCAGAAACTTAGTTTAAAATAAAAGAAGTTACTTACAACAACAAATGTGAAACCAATCAATGTGCTATTTCCATCATTCAATTTCAGAGTAGCTGTTGTGTTACCACACGCGCCATCTGCAGTAGTTGTCTTTGGGTTGACATTGATCAGATGAGGCTGAAATACAGACATACCATGTCAAAGACATTCAGCTGCCATTAGGAATACACCATTTCAGTCGGTAGCAGTCTTAGGCTAGAAGAGCTTGTCATGAAGATGACAGCAAGAAGATTGAGTCTGGCTACTATCAAAGCAAGGCTACCCCAAGATCAGTTCACACGCTGGTAATACTGAAGCAAACAAATTGGCCAGTGAAGTCTTATTTTGTGGACCTAATGCAACAGGTTAGCTTTGGCTCCCTCTGTGGGGAAAGATGGCATCTGCAGGGACCAACAGCCCTAAAAGCTTAAGAAAGTTCCAGGCTTTTAATGATGTTAGAAGTACTCCCAGTAACAAGTTACCTTGAATCCCCATAAGGTTTTGAAGCTAGACATTATGCCGCAAAACTATTCTGATGTCAGAGAGGTGCTATATACAATACTCAGAAGCAGTTCTGGACAGCCAGCAGTGTACAAAGCAAATACCCTGCACTCGCATTTCATACCAAATAACTACGGCAACCTTTCTACTCTTCCAAAAATAGAAGAGAAGCACCTTGTCTTGGGAAACATTCAGCTGCAGCCCCACAGTAGCCAGAAGACAAGTTGTATTTCCACTTTTAAGAGAATAGTTTCCTGTGTCTGGGTTCTCCACAGGTTTGGGAGCAGTGGTTGGAGCAGGCGATAAAGTGGTGGTAGGTGCAGTAGTTACATTGGCAATAGTAGGCGGAACAGTAGGTGCAGAAGTAGGCATATCAGCACGACATCTAGACTCTGAAAAGAAATTTTAACCACCATTTCAGTGCTAAAATTTTATTAAAGTCTTAAGACTCAGAGGTCAGTTCAATACAGATACCAATTTCTCTGTTGAAATCTAGGCTCATTGGGAATCTGCTAATCACCAAGTCAGAAGTCTCAAACGCAGTACAACACCACGGTATTCCAAACAATTTACAGCTACCATTTATTCTCAGAAATTCTGTAACACCCACAGTTTTAAATCCACATAGCATATGCAGGACTACTTACCCCCAACACACAGAAGCAAAACACACAGACAAAGTCAGCTAAGTGGTTATAAAAGTGTGATGTATTTGCTGTAGACAGAGTGCTACCCTATTAAGGCATACGTAGCAGGATGATGTGCTCATCTCTTGAGTAGCTGAGCTATGAGATGAGACAACAAGCTCTGGACTATTTACATGAAAAAGCAGAGGCTACCACTGAACATGGAAGGGCAGTCAGTTAAAAAACTTGAAGCTCAAATGATCTAGTCAACAACAGTAGTTCTGAAGTGCTTATTTTTAATACCCCAATTACTGGAATACACACTTTATTGACTACCACCTTGGCATGGGAACAATCTACATTACTATATACTACTAAATCTGTTCTGCTAACCCATTTTTCCAGGAACAAGGAAAGACATACTAAGGGATATTTACAAGAATATTATTCAACACATCTTAGAACTGATGTATTTTTTATTATTGGACTTTGCTCCCTGCACTAAGGTGCAATACAAAAAAGCTCGCTTGCAAATTGAAATGCTCACCTTTTTTACTGATTGTGCCATTCTGAACAAAAGGCTGCACAGTAACATTCCAGAAAATCTGTGTTACGTTTTCTGCTTCAAGAAAGTCAGTATTATGACACACGAAGACATTATTCAGTTGAACTGGATGCATAGTATCCTTTACAAAAATAGTAATCGGTCCTACAAATAAGCACAAATATTTTAATGCTTTATGAACTACAAGAACATTTATAGGTAGTGTTATGTCTTATATCATTCCATAAGACAAAGAGTAAGAGTTAATTAACAATCCTAAGCTCTCTTGAATGTTTCACCTATGAGTTCTGACCTGAAGTGCTAAGTAATGCAGAGAAGTGACCAAGCTTCCAGAGAATTAGACAAGCCATTAGAAAGGTGAACCTTTTTACTTACGTTTTTATTCAAGAACAAATAAATCCTATTATTAGTAGGTATTAGTACACAGAAAGCCTAACACTGTATTGCTTTGCTAGGTGGAAGGTCAAGTAGCACACACTAAAGTGAATCTTCCATATGCTATAGTAGCAGCACCTCTCTGATCAAGGCTGTTCAAACAGCCACCCTTCCCCTTCTGCACCACTTAAAGGAATTATACATTCAGTGAAGCGAACTAGTCTGTATGCTTATCCAGTAGGCAAGTATGATGAACAACAGCTAGGCAGTATATGGCACAGAAGTCATTAGATACATTATTAGTCCTTCTAACTTTGAAAAAGCCAACCAAGGTCAGGTACATGAGACCTGATACTTGTGGCCGAGACTGTTTTGTAAGTAGGATTCTGCACTGAACATTACCTTTTCTTTTAGCATCAGGAAATACAGCAGTATCATTGGTGTTGTAGGTAAATGTGATGAATTCCCCCTGGTAAGTTTCATTGGTTTTTGTAAAGTTGATGCTCCAAGAGTGACCTTCTCCAAACTGTACTGCCAGAAGCGCAGCTTGGGTGTCATTGCCACAGACACTTCCATTGTGTGTCACCCCAGATGACAAATTCAAGGTTGCATTTTTCTAGAAGAAAAGGGTAATTTTAAATGTTTTCACAGATAGCAGTTCTTCCCCATGAAAATATTATAAACTGCCGGAGTGAGACAGAACCTTGCGCAAGGTTAGCAAGATTATTTTAGGTTATTCTACAAAAATATGAAAAAGGCTCCCTGACATCTGACTTAGAAAGGAGCCATATCAGCTTCAAGTACAAAAGTACAAATCTAACTTGGCTGTAAATGTTGATCATGCTGAGCTGCAATCTGCATTTACTATTTGGGCTAAGAACATTACTACACTGATACACAGAAGCCACCAAGTTTGACCAGTATGCCATTTAAGTAAGTGTAACAGTGCACTTTCAGTTATTTGTATTATTAATTGAGAACTTATGCTTTGTTTTAAAATGAATATTTAGGAATAGTCTCAACAACTGACTTAGTGGAGGGGGAAAAAAAAAAAAAGTAAAGCACCAAACACCCTGGGTAAAAGAATGTGCTTAAACATTTACCCAGGACAAAATACAGCTCTCAGCAAAAGTTACCTCCAAATACTTACATAATCACTACTGTTTGTTTCATATTTTATCAAGAATCTCATCATCCATTTTGCATACAGGCATGTAGCATTAGAGGCATCCTTTACATCTACTTCCACTGCATAGGACTGGAAAAAACCTGTAAGATAGGAAGATTATTACCTGTTAAGACATGGCTTTTACTTCATTTTTGCAGAATCACTTAAGAGAACAGCTCATGACAAAGTAGTAAATTATTTCAGGACTGGATTCCATTTGGCGGACACTGAAAGAGTAGCTAGGTTTCTAAGAAGTATTAAAACTAGGAAGCACACCGTGAAGTTATCAAAGCTAGATAAGAATGACAGAATGTTTTCTAGTCTATTGACCTGGCAAAAATGAGCATTAGCTTTCTGGTGAGAAACCGAGTGGACTGCAGCACATGGACACAGCACTGCACGTCCTGCTCGTAGGCTAGGGTCTTCCTCTTATGTTTCATCAGCGGAATGACTCAAGCTGACCTCCGAGAGGTGCGATCGGGTGCCTTCGTTCTGTTTCCACAATTTCTGCCTCAAGACACGAATGTTAAACCCCCTTTCCGTTTTTAGAGAACCTTTAATAGCGGCTGGGTCTGTAACGCCGGGGCCCCACAGAGGCCCTCCCCCG